CAAATCATAAACTCTCATCAGATGGGTTTTGTTTAGCCCTATATATTGTGACTCACTTTCCAACCTGACTCTGGCATAACATTGCTAGGCAAGGAAGAAAATCAAAATATTTTCCCCCAAACATGTTTTTTTTGCCATATCTTGCCCTGCAAAGCTGTCCTTTGTGGGGGAAAATTTGCATCTGGAAAGAATCTCTATTAACATAGCTAGGTGTTTTTCTTCCAGGCGCTCCCAGTCCTAAAGAGATTACCTAAGGGTCTAGCACCCTTTAAACATAAACATCTGAATAGAAACTTTTGTCCCCTGTTGTCTCTAAGGCCAGCCACTGTTAAGACTTTTAAAGAACGTTGGTCTCCACAACCTTTATGTTCACCTGAACACTCCCTTTCTGTCTACCCCAGGTCTTTAGACAAACAACCAATTGTCAACCAGAAAATGTTTAAATTTACCTGTAGCCTGGAACCCTCCCACCCCCCAGCCCCCACTCCCCTCCCACCTGCTTCAAGTAGTTCCGCAAATACGGCCCAAACCACTGTGTTTCTAAATGTATTTGATTGAGGTCTCCTGCCTCCCTAAAATGTGTAAAACCAAGCTGTACCCCAAACACCTTGGGCCCATGTTCTCAGGACCTCCTGAGGTCTGTGTCATGGGCCATGGTCACTCATATTTGGCCCAGAATAAATCTCTCCAAATATTTTACAGAGCTTGACTCTTTTCGTCGACAATACATTGGTGTGGTCCAGAAAGGTGGGACAACTTGAAGGGCGGGGATCTTCCAGGCTACAGGTAGATGTAAAAATGTTTCAGTTGACAACTGGTTGAGTTTGTCTAAAGACCTGGGATCCTCAGAAAGGAATGTCTGGGTTAGGATAAAGGATCGTGGAGACCCAGGTTGTCATGTGCAGAGGAAACCTTTAGGTAGCAGGCTTCAGAGAGAAGAGGTGGTGAAACGTTCGTTTCTCTTTTTTGAGATGGAGTCTCGCTCTGCCGCCCAGGCTGGAGTGCAGTGGCCGGATCTCAGCTCACTGCAAGCTCCGCCTCCCGGGCTCACGCCATTCTCCTGCTTCAGCCTCCTGAGTAGCTGGGACTACAGGCGCCCGCCACCTCGCCCCGGCTAGTTTTTTGTATTTTTTTAGTAGAGACGGGGTTTCACAGTGTTCGCCAGGATGGTCTCGATCTCCTGACCTCGTGATCCACCCGTCTCAGCCTCCCAAAGTGCTAGGATTACAGGCTTGAGCCACTGCGCCCGGCCGAAACGTTTCTTATCAGACTTAAAGTCTGTGGGGATGTTAATGCTGGAGAGGCAGAATGAGGCATGGCTGACCCCCACTGCCCATCATAGTTTCTCGGGTTAAATTTTAAAACAACCCTGGCTGAGGAGGAAGTCCATTCAGATGGTTGGGGAGGGGCCTTAGCATTTTATGTTTGGTTTACAGGGAAACCTTGCAAGCTGAGGTCCTGGCTATGAGGCCAGGCCGGACTTGCCTCCTCCTGCTTCCTGGCAAGCCACGACCCAGGTCCCTCACTGTCACGCACATCCGTGTCCGTGTGAAGAGACCACCAAACAGGCTTTGTGTGAGCAATGACGCTTTTTAACCACCTGGGTGCAGGCGGGCTGAGTCCGAAAAGAGAGTCAGCGAAGGGAGATGGGTGGGGCAGTTTTAGAGGATTTTGGTGGATAGTGGAATATTACAATCAAAGGGGGTTTTTCTCTTGCGGGCAGGGGTGGGGGTCACTAGGTGCTCAGTGGGGGAGCTTCTGAGCCAGGAGAAGGAATTTCACAAGGTTAATAGATCAGTGAAGGTGGGGCAGGAAGAAATCACAATGGTAGAACGTCACCAGTTAAGACAGAAACGGCCATTTTCACTTCTTTTGTGATTCTTCACTTGCTTCAGGCCATCTGGATGTGTTAGCTTGGGCTCAGGAGCCTGACACTCACCTCAGGGAAAACAGGAACATACCCTGTGGAGACTGCGCCGCTGAGATCAGTGAACCCCAGACACTGCCCCTCTCTTCTTCCTGACAGGAGACCCCCGTGGAGAGGCCCTGGCCGTTCCAGGGAAGAGGCGCAGGTAGGGCTTCCGAGTCCGCTGCTTCACCTTTTGACATCAGAGGGCCCAAAACTCCACCCTCAGACCAGGTTAACTCCTCTGGCTTTTGCACATGGAGAGATGTGAAGCCCAATTGTGCATATGCCTGCTTTCTCCTCTCATCAATATTCATGCCCCTCCCACAGCTTATTGAATATGCATATTCAGCCGCCCCCACTCAGTGTAGATCTCTGCCTTAGTCTTCCCTCCCTCAAAGTGTCTGTTTCCGGCTTCCTACCAGAGGCTGTGCCTCCCAGCCGGTCAGAACAGCCACACTCAGGCCGGGCGCGGTGGCTCAAGCCTGTAATCCCAGCACTCTGGGAGGCCGAGACGGGCGGATCACGAGGTCAGGAGATCGAGACCATCCTGGCTGACACGGTGAAACCCCGTCTCTATTAAGAAATACAAAAAACTAGCCGGGCGAGGTGGCGGGCGCCTGTAGTCCCAGCTACTCGGGAGGCTGAGGCCGGAGAATGGCGTGAACCCGGGAGGCGGAGCTTGCAGTGAGCCGAGATCCGGCCACTGCACTCCAGCCTGGGCGACAGAGCGAGACTCCGTCTCAAAAAAAAAAAAACAGCCACACTCAGCCTGCAGCGCTCTGTGAGAAGTAAAGTGCTCCCTTCCAAACTGATGACCTCGTCCTTCTTCAGTTGACACCTCCCTCTCTCAATGACGATTCTGGAGTATGTGCAGGTGTTGGTGACAGAGCTGCATGGCTGCGTGCGGGATAAAGCCGCTATCCCTGCAGAGCTCACACTCCCCTGAGGTGGGACGCACACCTCCAAGAACAAACAAGGGTGAGAGCAGAGCCAGTTTGGCATCGTGGGAATCAATAATGAAGCAGAGAATGCGAGGTGGCGGGGGTGGCTATCTCGGGATGGGGTGTCAGAGGTGGATCTGAGCTGGACAGACAGGAGGGACGCAGTCCAGGGTGGTCCTGGGTGAGTCTGTTCCGTGTAGGAACCGCCAGCATACAGGACGTGAGTAAGGAGGAGTGCGGCGTGTCCCAGGCACCAATCCAGGGCTGGATGAAGAATGATTGAGGCAGTTTGAAGATGATGCCAAGTCATTCTCCTCCCGTGGAGAGGTGGATTTTCTCTTCTCTCCAAAATCTGGGCTGGCCTTAGTGACTTGAGGAGAGATAAATACTCTATGATTCCTAGGCTGGGTCATAAGGTACCTTCCAGCCTCTGCTCCGGTGACCTCGTAGGAAGTACAGCTGCCCTGAGCCCACCGTGCTGTGAGGAAGCCCCAGCCAGCCATGGGAAGAAGCTGTGAGGTGGGGGAGGGAGGGGATCTGTCCAGCCTCACCTGTTGTAGCGATCCCACAGGTGTGTGAACACAGCATCTTGGACAAGCCAGCCCCAGCTGACACAATTGAGAGAAAAACCAAGGAACCCTGCAGACGGCCAGAACTGAGGTCCCAAAATACAGCCCAGCCAAGCCATGCTGCCATTGTTAGCCATTGGTACCTTCCCAGCTGAGACTCCACGCATCATGCAGCCTGTTCCACCATCCAGGGCCAGATGTGAACTCCTGATCCACTGAGCTTTGGGCTGATTGATTCTGGAACGATGGGTGGCCAAGGCCGTGGTCAAATCCAGCTGGAGAGGTGCATGGGCCAGTGTCAGGGGTCTGGGTTTCACCCCGTGTCGGCTGAGGCACACTGGAAGGTTGTAAGCCTGCACATCCACTCTTCCCACATTTGAGCCGCATCTGAGTGTGGACCATACTGACGGGTTCCTGCACCTGCAGCCTCCACACCGTCGCTAGTGCCCTGCCTCCTGGCTGGAGTATCCTTCCTGTCCCTTGGTTGCTCTTTGTACCCATCACAGTCCTCCCCCACCCCTCAAGTTCTGCTCCAAGCTTTGTTTTCCTCCAAGAGAAGAACCTGTCCACAAATAGTTCCAAAGCAGCAGGAAGCTTTTCTCACATGTCCCCAAGGACCGTGCTGTGTGAACTTCCCTTCTGTAATCACAGAGCCCATCGCCCTGCCCACAGGGACTGGTCCAGGAATAGGGAGGAGGTAAACAGAGGATGCATTCCTTCCCCAGTGCTGAGAACCCTGCCATCCTCAGCCACAGTTGCCACAAAGAAGATACCACATCCCTGGGGGCATCAGCAGGAATCAGGTAGAGAGTGGCACTGCTCTGGGGGCGGGGAAGGTGACTCACAGCGTCGAACATCAGAAATCCGCAACATTGACCCAGTCCTGCCAAGATGGAACCCTGCCTGAGGGTGAGAGATGGGGAGTTGGGGCATTGCAAAAGACGCAATACATGAATAATCTCAGGTGATTCTCATGCAACCCCCAGAGGCTGGTGCTGCTAGCTCCCCTCTGCAGGAGAGGAAGCTGGGGCTTGGAGGCTGATTGGATCTGCTCAAAGGCCCAGGGAGAGTCAGAGTCAGGACCTGGGACAGAGCCGAAGACCTTGAGGAGGCTGCACTTCCTCCTGAGGTGAGCCAGCATTCAAGCTGTTTTTCCTTCCAGTATGAATTCCACAAGGAAATAATCTCAGGAGGAAGAGCTCATACTTGGATCCAGAAAATGTCAACATAGCCAAAGTAAAACAATCAAGACATACCTCCAGGAGCTGTGTAAACAGCAACCGGAAAGAGACAGAGACGATGGCGTGCTCCTATGTGGGGTATAAAGGGCGCGGGCTCAGGGGGCTCCACACCTGCACCTCCTTCTCACCTGCTCCTCCACCCACTCCAGCCTCAACCCACCAGAACTATGGGCTGCTGTGGCTGCTCTGGAGGCTGTGGCTCCAGCTGTGGGGGCTGTGGCTCCGCCTGTGGGGGCTGTGGCTCCAGCTGTGGGGGCTGTGGTTCCGGCTGTGGGGGCTGTGGCTCTGGCTGCTGTGTGCCCATGTGCTGCTGCAAGCCCATGTGCTGCTGTGTACCAACCTGTTCCTGCTCCAGCTGTGGCTCCTGTGGGGGCTCCAAGGGTGGCTGTGGCTCTTGTGGCTGCTCCCAATGCAGTTGCTGCAAGCCCTGCTCTTGCTCTTCAGGTTGTGGGTCATCCTGCTGCCAGTCCAGCTGCTGCAAACCCTGCTGCTCCTCCCCAGGCTGTGGGTCATCCTGCTGCCAGTCCAGTTGCTGCAAACCCTGCTGCTGCCAGTCCACCTGCTGTGTCCCCGTGTGCTGCCAGTGCAAGATCTGAGGCTCTGGACCCAGACCTTCAGGTTTCTCCTGTTTGGTGAAAGCATTTGTTATGGTTTCCCTGAATCAGCTCATCCCACTCATCCTCCCTGAGGCACCTGCACCTTCTCCATGCTCATCATCCATGCACACACCTCCTTCCATGGCTCGGCTCTCCTCTGGGCCCTGCCTTCGGCCTCCTCACTCCGGAAACACGTGTTTCCTTGATGCAGGAGGTGTCCTTGCCTGGAAGCGGGTGCCCGGCCGACTGCCACAGTGTTCCCTGCACTTGGGTGTGGACCATCTTCTTCTTCTCCCTGGGATGACTGAGATGCAAAGTCTGACCCCACAAGGCCAGGTCGATGCTCCTGAGTGATCACTAAAAACCAGCTTCTCAACCACCACTGGGACCCTGGATCGTCCTGGGCCGCTGCCTATTCTCCTGTGGCCACCTGTAACCAGGAAGGCCTCCTTCCTTCCTTCCTGTTGTCTCCATCTGTTTAAAAAAAAAACAACAAAATAATGAATGAATTTCCTTGCAATAAAGCCTCTCATGTCTGCAAATCAACTGCATGCTGTCCAACCCCTTTCCTGTGCGGTGACGGATTCTGTGTTCTCATCTGTCAGCCAAGCCGGGAAACGCCCGCCTGCAGGCCTGGTGCATTCACAAAAAAACCTGCCATTCCCTCTTCCCTCCTCTCAGCCTCAGATATCTTCACACTCTCTGCTTACAGGAGAAGGCTCAACCCGGTGCCTGCCCTAGAGGCGCAGACGGGCAGGCAGGCCCTGAGTACCGACGACCAGCCAAGCAGGGCTTTGCACAAGACCCGTGGCTTCCAGCTTCCCACTCTCCTCTGGGGCCTCGGAAGGACCCCAGGCAGGGCAAGGTCGGGGGAGGGAGGAGTGAAGCACCCCTGAGCGACAGGGCACCTCTGATTCAAACACAAAATTAGCCTTTTAGAATTATGAAGTCAATGGGCTTTCCATAACTAAAAGTAACGGGGAAGTTATAGAATGGCCCAAGGCGTGCTCGGCACTCAGTCTCCCGGCAGGAAAGGGGAGTTCCTGGGAAGTGACACATTTGGGGAACCTAAGCCAAGTCCATCTGTTTCGTGGTGATGCGCCACCACGCTGAGCCTGTTCTCTGATCGGTGACACAGGCAAGGCTTTAGAAATCGCGCACTGGGGAGGAGGGGACAAGAGTGATCTGAGGACGATCTCCAGCCAAGCGAACCCGGAGGGAAAGGGTGGAGGGAAGATAGCACACAGGGAGCGCTGGTGAGAAATGAGCACCCACGGAACGCCCGCAGATCTAAGCCACTGCTGATAATGCCAGGGAAGAACACAGTGGGAATTTCCAAGACAAATTTCTGAGATAAAAGAGATGCAATGTAAGGAGAAATGAAATAATCTAGAAATAAAAGCTTAGATTATTTCAACCACGTTTAGGAGAGGGAATAAAAGTGTGTCAAAGGTGTGTCTTGCTAGGGGACATGACTATTGATAGTTTCACGACGCTAAAAGGAAATGCCGCTTAAGACAGTTTACTCAAAAATCCAAACTGGGAAACTCCAGAAGGTGGCAGCAGACAGGAACACGGCGGTCATTGCATTTGAGCCTTGTACGTTCCCACAGCCCACAGGACACTGAGCAACTTGGTAACAAAACTGAAAATGCGGCCGGGCGCGGTGGCTCAAGCCTGTAATCCCAGCACTTTGGGAGGCCGAGACGGGCGGATCACGAGGTCAGGAGATCGAGACCATCCTGGCTAATATGGTGAAACCCCGTCTCTACTAAAAAATACAAAAAACTAGCCGGGCGAGGTGGCAGGCGCCTGTAGTCCCAGCTACTCGGGAGGCTGAGGCGGGAGAATGGCATAAACCCGGGAGTCAGAGCTTGCAGTGAGCTGAGATCCGGCCACTGCACTCCAGCCTGGGCGACAGAGCAAGACTCCGTCTCAAAAAAAAAAAAAAAAAAAAAACTGAAAATGCACGCTGGAGACTCATACAAACCCTGGTAAGCTGGTCATGGTGGCTCACACATGTAGCCTCAGCTACTCAGGAGGCTGAGGCGGGAGGATGGCTTGAGCCCGGGAGTCTGAGGCTGCAGTGAGCTGTGATTGCACCACTGAACTCCAGCCTGGGCAATACAAAGTGAGATGGTGTCTTAAGAAAAAAACAGGTGAACTTCAAAGTACAAGAAGGTGGGGATAAATTTCCCAGAGTCACAGTCCCCCAGGGTTTCAGTGTCCATGTAGGAGAAAGCAAAGAAACATCTAACAGAGCCGAAAACAGGGGAACCTCAAAAGAGCCAACAGGTGCGTGCTGGAGAAGCACAGCATGAATTTTGAATCTGGCTCCTGAAACGGGGACGCTTTTCCTCCCTCTAGTGGAGAGTGGGTGCGAGGCCCTCGGTAAGTCCCCACAGGCAATGGAAGAAAGTAGGAAGCCTGCTGTGAAACAGATCACAGTGGTAGCCTCCGGTTTCCAAAGGAGCTAATGAACAATGAGAGGAAATGATACCAGACATAAATAAGGCTGGGCGCGGTGGCTCACACCTGTAATCCCAGCACTTTGGGAGGCCGAGGCAGGAAGATCACTTGAGGCCAGGAGTTCAAAACCAGCCTGGGCAACAGAGTGAGATGCCCATCTCTACAAAACATTTTAAAAATTAAGTGGGCATGGTGGTGTGTGCCTCTAATCCCAGCTACTAGGGAAGTTGAGATGGCAGGATCGCTTGAGCCTGGGAGGTTGAGGCTGCAGTGAGCCGTGATCCTGCCACTGCACTCTAGCCTGGACAACAGAGTGAAACCCCATCTCAAAAAAAGAGACATAAATGAACAACGAAAGCCATAAATAGAAGAATTGCTAAATGAGGTGACATTACTCAAGAGAAAATTTGAGTTAAAAGAAATCACTCTAGAAATAAAGTCTAAAATGGGACAAACATATGAGTAAAAAAGTAGAATAAATTTTAAAAACCAAAAAGAAATGAAGAGCTAAAAAGGATTCGAGAGACAAGGACAAAAATGGAAAAGAAGCAAAGAAGATCCAAGACTCCTAACCAAAGTTGTGTATGATAGTCAAACAATTACATAAAAAACTAGAATCAAAAAGCACTAATCGAAAAGAAGAGAAAAAGAAATATAGATCAGGTGATGCAATAGAAAATTCAGACTAAGAACATAGACTTTAAACCCAAATATTTCAGTAATTATATTACAAGTAAACGGATAAAATGCTCTAGTTTACATATAGAGATTGCTAGACTAGTTTTCTTAAAATATGTGTAACTGGCCGGGCGTGGTGGCTCACGCCTGTAATCCCAGCACTTTGGGAGGCCGAGGCGCGTGGATCACGAGGTCAGGAGATCGATACAATCCTGGCCAACATGGTGAAACCCGTCTCTACTAAAATACAAAAAATTAGCCAGGCGTGGTGGCGGGCGCCTGTAGTTCCAGCTACTTGGGAGGCTGCGGCAGGAGAATGGTGTGAACCCGGGAGGCAGAGCTTGCAGTGAGCTGAGATAGCACCACTGCACTCTAGCCTGGGTGACAGAACAAGACTCCGCCTCAATTAAAAAAAAAAAAAAAAAAAGTATAACTATATGTAAAGTCAAAAGTTGCACCTAAAACATAAGGATTCAAAAACGTAAAAAAAGTAGGGGGTTAGAAAAAGACATAACATGCAAAGAAAGCTGTACTAATAGTAGGCAAAATAAAAACAAAGGCCTGGCTGAGTGCGGTGGCTCACGCCTGTAATCCCAGCACTTTGGGAGGCCAAGGCAGGCAGATCACCTGAGGTCAGGAGTTCGAGACCAGCCTGACCAACATGGTGAAATCCTGTCTCTACTAAAAGTAACAAAAGAAATAGCCGGGCGTGGTGAGGTGCGCCTGTAGCCCCAGCTACTCAGGAGGCTGAGGCAGAAGAATCGCTTGAACCCAGGAGGCAGAGGTTGCAGTGAGCCAAGACTGCACCACTGCACTCCAGCCTGAGCAACAAGAGCGAGACTCCATCTGAAAAAAAAAACAAATATATACATATTTATGCATCATATATATGCTGAGAATTTTCTAGATCACAGTCCTGAGCTAATGAATCCTATATAGATGTTGTTTTAACTTTTTTCTCCATCATTATCTCAAGTGCCATCACCCTCTCCACCCGTAGGCATCTGTCCTTGCAGGTATCTTTCCAATTCATCTTCCATACGTTATTTACATACATTTGCATATAGTCATGACAAATATGTAACATTTTTCAATGTGTATGTTTTTGGTTTTGGTTTTGGTTTTGAGACAGGTCTCGCTCTGTCGTTCAAGCTAGAGCTAGAGTGCAATGGTGCGATCTCTGCTCACTGCAACCTCCACATCCCAGGCTCAAACGATCCTCCTGCCTCAGCCTCCCAGGTAGCTGGGACTAGAGTCGCACACTCCACACCCGGCTAATTTTTGTATTTTTTGTAGCGATAGAGTTTCACCATGTTGCCCAGGCTGGTCTCGAACTCCTGGACTCAAGTAATCCACCTGCCTGGCCCTCCCAAAGTGCTGGGATTATAGACGTGAGCCACTGCGTCCAGCCTTGTGTATGTTATCTACACTCATGATGGTTATAAATTCTGCTCTGTTTCTCGCCCTTTAAGCAAATCTGGTGCTTTTGGCACGTATTGCCACATGAAAATACAACGCATTATTTCTGGCCACTGAAGTGTGTTCCACTAGATTCCTGCCCCCCCTTTCCCACATCCATCACCCTTTTTTGAGCTCTTTGCTGCCACAGAATCCCCCGTGATGAATATCCTTGTTCCTCAGCGTAACACCCAGGAGTGGTGAACCTAGTGAACGAGCTTTCGATGACTGATGAGTGGGATGCTGAAACAGGGAGTCTGGGAGAAGAGATTTTTTTTTTTCTTTTTTGAGATGGAGTCTCGCTCTGTCGCCCAGGCTGGAGTGCAGTGGTGCCATCTCAGCTCACTGCAAGCTCCGCCTCCTGGGTTCACACCATTCTTCTGCCTCAGCCTCCTGAGAAGCTGGGACTACAGGCGCCCGCCACCACGCCCGGCTAATTTTTTGTATTTTTAGTAGAGACGGGTTTTCACTGTGTCAGCCAGGATGGTCTTGATGTCCTGACCTCGTGATCCGCCCGCCTCGGCCTCCCAAAGTGCTGGGGTTACAGGCGGGAGCCGCCGCGCCCGGCCCCAGATTTCTTGAGAAACATCTGCTTTGGAAGGAAGGCGACTGAAGCATTGAGCCAGTGCCGTATCGCCATCTTCTTCTTCAGTAAGCAACGATGCTTTCATGATCCAAAAAGTCAATAGCCATAGAACGAATGTGCTTCCCAGAATCAAAAGGCCATACCAAAAAAAAAATGCAATTTACAACCACCAAAAAGATTGCACCTCCTCAAGGCCGTGTACAGAGCTAGTATAGTTGTGTGATGGATGGACCCCATTACACTGTACGTGCTTGAAAAGCAGAAGCCACGTAGTGACTCCGGC